CACATGAGCTTACATTAAAACAAATAGCCACCTTAATTCTCATCCAGTCCTTCACATGACTCACAAACAAAAGCTCCCATTAGTGCTGACTCTACTCCCTCTGAAATCTGTGAAACTCATGCCTTTATTTGAGAAAGAGAAGACAGTCATCGGGTTTGGCAACTTCAATAGACAACAGTGTCTAGGTCAGAAGTTGCCAAGTCTGGCCCACTGCTTGGTTTTATAAATAAAGTTTTATTGGAACACAGCCATTTATTTATATATTGTCAATAGCAGAAATGAATGGTTGTAACAGAGACCTTATGGTCCACAAAGTCTAAAATGTTTAAGGTCTGACTTGTTATTGAAAAAGTTTGAGGATCTTTGGTCTGGTTTACATTGTTTTGCTTTCAGTGTACATATTCTTAAATACTTGCTGCCTATCATGGAAGCTACATCAGTTTTCCACTGATGAAGACAATAATTAATTGAATAAAAAGCATTTAAAGAAAAAAATTAACAAAATATTATAATATTAACAAATTAATATATATAATAGAAGTGTACCGCAGTTGTGACGGAATTCTGGGGTCATGCATGCCTGACAAAGCTTGCTAAACACTGGATTCTGCAAACAGGGAAAGTCCAGAGATTTGAGAATGATGAAGATTTGAGAGGAGGGACTGGAGACTGGAAAAGCATTTCATGAGGAGAAAAAAGAGTTTGTATATATCAAGGGACAATCTGTGCCCATTAGGGATGGAGAGAGGGCGTAGCCTGTCCAAGCTGGACCTGGGAGGTCAGGCGAGGAGGGGGTAGGGAGGGAGCTGCAACCAGATGAAGCCAAGACTGGTAAAGGGGAGAAAATGGTGGTGCAGGGGAGTCTGAGGCTGATCCTTTCTGACCTGGGGTTTCCCTTATGGAAACACTGTGGGGGAAAAAATGGAAAGATATCAGTGACAACCACAGTAGTAATGTTTGTCTATGTTACAGAGTACAGGTTCTAAGCACTTTACACCTATGGCCTCACTTAACTTCACAGTAACCCTGTGAAGTTAAGGGTTATTTTCCACTGAGGAACTGAGGCACAGGGAGAGCAAGTGACTTGCCCAAAGTCACACAACGAGTAAGTAGCACTCGTAGTGGCTGAACTCAGCCCACATCTAAGCGTCACAGCTCAGGAAGTGACTGGGCCTTAGTCATTCATAGATTCGGGCCTGAGAACTGGACTCTGTGTCAGCTGAGCCCCTGACTGGCCTGACCCCATCTTAGTCTCAGCCTGACCTGTAGGATGTAGGTCACAGAGAAGCTGTTATCCTTGTGGCGTCACAGGGAGTTGACACATCCTGATGATTTTGCCAAGAGAGTGACTAAGTCTAAACTGCCAAGAGAAAGCAGAACCTTGAGGCAGCAGCAGAGGGACAAACCTTTCTGAGCCTCAGGGGTGGGTACTGGCCCAGCAGCCCCTCGAAGTCTCAGAAGCAGAGGGGCAGGGTGTCCCTAAGGGACCAAACCTGGAAGGCACAGGCCAAGGGCTGAGCCTCCAGCTGCGTTTGTGGTTCAAAAAGCATAACAGATGCCTACTGTCTTACATTTCCTTGTTTCTGTATTTTCCAATGCATTTATGGAAATACAGGGTCTGAAATTATGTAATATCAGCTGAAAATATATCATTTATATCTTAATTATTTGTCTCCCCCCTTCAAAGATGATCTCTGTGGTGTCAGGTTCTGCACATGATTCTATTCCCTGCTGCCTGAGATATAACAGGTGCTCAAATACAATGGTCTAATTTAAATCCCTCTTCAGCTCTAAAGTCCAAATGTGTCAGCGTAACTCAGCATTACCTGCTTGCAGAAGTTAAGCTCCCTGCCCCACCGATGAACAGGGAGAAAGCTGGCCAGAGCCAGGATGAGAGAAGGCCCTGCCTCCTCAGCTCAGAGGAGCCAACCCTGGGCAACCCAGGGCCCCAGGGGCTGAAGTACTCTTCCTGATGCCGGATGGCTTGGCAGACCACCTTTAACGGGGTGCTGGCTTTGTAACTACGCTGTTTCTGAAAGCTTGGTTTAAGAGCCTAAATTTTCTATCTGTACTACAGCAGAAGTCGAAGGATGTTCAAAAACAAGAAAATAGAAAAATAACCCTTTTAGCTATGGTTATGGGTTCAATTGTGTCCCCAAAATTCAGATGTCGAAATCCTAACCCCTAGTACCTCAGAAGGTGACCTTATTTGGAAATAGGATCATTGCAGATGTAATTAGTAAGACACGGTTGTACTGGAGCAGAGTGGGCCCTCCTGGCACACTCTATGACTGGTGTCCCTATAAAAAGGAAAAGTTTGGGCACAGAAATATGCACACCAGGAGAATGATGCTTGATCGTGAAGGTCACACGTCTTTGTCAGCCAAGGAAGGACAAAGATGGCCAGCAAACCACCAGGAGCTAGGGGACAGGCTGGGGGCTGATTCTGCCTCCCAGCCAACAGACGGGCCCCACGCTGATGTGGCCCGATCTCGGACCTCTGTGCTCCAGAACTGGGACTCAAATCGTGTTCTGTTGTTCAAGCCACCCAGGTTGGGGCCTGTGCCACAGCAGCCCCAGAAACCCTGCACATCTACTCCCAGGCACGGGTACCAGGCTGGACAAGCGGACCCGTCCCGAAGGCCATCTGAGGGAGGAGGATTGTGGTGGCATCATTCTTGTTAAAACTGGGGACAGCACACTGCCCTCTGTCAAGTCAAGTGAAGGTTTCTTGCTAATGACCAGCCTTTGGTCTGGGCAAGCCTTCACCCCAGGCTGCTTCTGTTTCCCACACCACTAGTCACTCTCCCTGCTGCTCTTGTCTCCCATCTCCTCCTCCAGTCTGACCGCACCCAGGGCTGAGTCTCACCTGGCTTTTCATCAGCCATCCCTGTCCCTCTCTGCTAGCTGTATAAGTACCTTGGCCGCCTCAATACTCAGGAGCTGGAACATCAGGAGGGAGAGCAGGGAAGACTCACCAGGCAGGTGTGCAGGGCTCCCGCAGCCTGGGTTGCCTCCTGGGGGGGCCGAGGTTAGCTGTACCAAGCACAGCAGGTATTGTTGAAAGGAATGGCAGGCAGAGGCCACAGCACCTGCTGCAGGCCATTTCTGTCAGACAGAGGGGTGTGTATGGTTCTGGAGCATGGACACCAAGAAGTGGATGCTGATCAGGTCTGGACACCAAAATCGTAAGTGCTTCCCATTGTGTTCCTTTACTTGGTAAACACATCACCATATTTTCCACTGGAAACCCGTGTGTGTGTGTGTGTGTGTGTGTGTGTGTGTGTGTGTGTAAATAGTAGCAATAAAAATGTTGAGGAGATGCAGAACCTGGGGGACCAGTGTTCCCCTAGATGCTGGGGGTCTGTGTTGAGGGAAGCTGATCTGCACTGGGTGGACAGGAAAGAACTCCCTATTCCCAGCTTCTCTTGACCCATCACCTGATGTCAGATGGAAGCAGGGTGACCAACCATCCCACCTGGTCCAGGACCCCGAGACTTCCTGGCACACAGAAATTTTAACACTAAAATTGTTGTTCATACATACACACACTGGTCTCTGCAAAAGACCCCAAGAACCTGTAGCCAGCCAGCTGGGACGTGCCAGCCTGCACAGGTGCAGCCAGGGACTCAGTCCCCATCTGCAAAACTATTGCTACCCATCAGCTGTTCTTCCCAGGAAATTCTGCCAGTCAACACTGGGCTGAGACATCTGAAGAGCCATGGCATCTCCATCCCCGGCAGGGGTCCCCAGGGATTCGCATCTAACCACTTCTGAGGACACACTAGGAAAAGGATGCTAATACGGGTGGGAGATTGGCCTCAGCTGCTCCTCGCTTTGAGATGATCCAGACTGTCTACCTAGCTTGAGTCAAGTCTCGTGGTGCTTCAGATCCCATAACCTATAACTTACATAACTGTAGCCCTCCCCACTACTTTTATCTGCAAGTTCTCCATTCATCCTGGCTTATTTTATGCATAGGAAACTACATTTGAATCACCTTTTTATTCTCACCCACTGGAGAAGGTAAAAGAAAGAGTAGAAATTTTTTCTTTCAGTTGTATGGGGAAAGTGAGTCCCAGAGAGGTTTGGCACCCAGTGCAAGGCAGTTAGCTGGGGCTGGGGAGGGAGTCTGTGGCCCTGTAGAGATGGCTGAGGACTGTCGCTGCACTTTTCTCAGTTGATGTTCATTCTGAACACCCTGTGAATGGCATGGTTATAAGACTATTCATTTTATACATAACCCCTTGGAGACGCGTGGAGTGTCGCTGAGACAGAAAGCAAACATGAACTTAGTCCATCTAAAAAGTGCAGAGAACCAGGTAAACATTCGTTGACTTTTGCCTGGAGTTGCTTTCAGTACGCACCCAGCTGACCACAGACGGAAGCCAAATCTCTTCTCTTCCTGTCGTACCCTCTCTGTCATCTCAGTCTTTCTTGCCTCAGGGATGAGCCTGAGTGGAAGAAAGAAGCACAGGTCCTCAGGGCTCCAGAGCAGAGAAGCTACAAGACGCATGAAACTTCTTTGGCTAATACTGACCAATTCTTACAGCACATTTCAAAATCTCTTTATGTCCATAAACCCTCTTCCATGCCTTTCACATAAAACCTCCGGTCCCCATGAGACAGAATAGGGCAGAAGTGGCAAAAAGTATGAGAAGCCCCCCCCCATCACATGAGTTGAAGAAACTGTGTCCCAGTCACTCAGCAGGGCTTGCCCAAGAGCTGAGAGGCAGAGCAGAGGGCACAGGGCAGCCCCTCTGCCAGCCCACATGTTCCTAGTCCCCGGACTTTGCAAATCCATCCAAGGGCACGCCAACTCTTCCTCTGCCGTGTAACCTGGTTGCCCCAGCAATGCACTCCCATGAGCAGTGATGTCAGGCTGTTTTGATCAGGATCATTGCTGAGCCGTGAAACAGTTAAGAACTAACCTGCCCCACCGGCTGCCGTGCTCATAAAGGTAGACCCACGTGTACTTCCTCGTGGCTCCAGACAGACGGCTCACTCATTTGCTCACACCCAGTGGAGAGAGAAGGCAGCGGGAGGCGAGCCTGCCACATCAGCTCTGGGCGTGCAGCTGAGCTCCTCACGCTGCCCCTGCTGCCCCTGCTCCAGGGCAATGCTCCTGGGGGGCCCCTGGGGAAGATGCAACCCTGGGCGGTGTGCCCTCCTCCTCCTCTTGGCCCTCCTACTGGACACCCTGGGCCTGGTGCTTTTGCTTGTGGGCATCTTGGCCTCACTCGATTACTGGGACTTCTTGGTCTACACGGGTTCTCTGACCCTGGCTTTCAGCCTACTGTTCTGGATCACCTGGTATTCCTTCAATATTGAGCTGCCTCTTGAGAAACTGGACTTGTAGTTTGGCCATCAGCTGAGGAGAAAGGACACAGGCTTCCTGTGAACCTGGAGCTGCTAGCAGTCGGAGGAGCAGGGACATGTTGCCACTCTCACCCAAAATGCCCAGACAGGGACCAGGTAAGTGCACATGAGACCTCCCTGGCACAGTGGCCAGGCAGGCTCAAATGAACAGGTTCAGGTCTTCGGAGGCTGAATGGGCAAGCAGCAGGAAGACTCCACCCAGCAGGGGTTCTGTCAGCCTGGGCTCAGGCTGACCAGAAGAACGCAGGGCAGCTATTTTCTCCCCTGAGGATCCTTTTCCTTATGGAAACTGGAAAGAGAGACTCCTGAGCCTATCCCACTTCTGATACTTCCTGGAGGGTTCTGCCATGCAGAACAGGAAGGTCTCCCTTTACCTTAGCACTTGGAAGAAAAGGGCTCATCTGGACTGTCTAGTGGGGAGAATCCTGCTGGAGAGAAAAGCCTCTGGCACTGGGAGGAGTTTCCCGACAGTGGAAGTGCCCTAGCAGGGGTACAAACTGGCCTGAGTGGGAGGAAACAGAGCAGAGCCCCCAGAATGGCCCTTCTTGCTTGCTTCCTCCCTGCACCTACCCTGACAGGACATGCAGGATGGGGTCAGGATCTGCCTGTATGTCCATTCTAGTAGCCCTGCCTCCTCCCCGAGCCCATCCTCCTCAGGCACCCTCCTCTCATGAGGTCAACACCTTCCCAAGCCACCCTGGAAGACCTCAAAGTTGAGAGACCAAGGCTGACTATTTCCTTGGTCGAGCTGCACTTTTCAGCCAGGCCAGTGGCTCGGTTGACCATGTGTAACCAAGGAGGCAGATAAGTGTAAGACTTTTCACAGGGACATGGAACCTAAAAGATAGAGCTGGTCTGGCCCTCAAACCCTGACCTAGAGGTAGGCAGCTCCTCTCAAGGGACTGAGATCCAAGCCCTGGTGTGTGGGAGATTGTTATCTACCCCACCCGAGGTGGGCAGGGACCTGCTCACAGACACAGTTGGGCACTCCTTTTTGAGTTAGGATGTAAGAGCAAAGGTCATTGCTGGCTTGGAAGGAGGAAATAATCATCGTGTCTTCTCTGAGGAATTCCATCTGAACCTTAGAGCTGAGAGAGGAGACCAGCAATCTGAAGAAGATTTAGAAGGGTGGTGAGGTGGCCCCTGGCCAGTGAAAGAAAGAGAGATGAGAAGTCACGATGCCTGCGTCTGGTTCCGAGCAGCGCTTGTTCACTGGGTGACATGAACACGGTCACATGTGGTGCCCTGAGCCTCAGCATCCTCATCTGTAAAATGAGCATAATATTACCTTCCCTTGTTGTTGCAAGGATCAAAAGTAAGGAAGGCTGGCTAAAGCTCTTTGCAAACAATGTGGTTTCTACCCATGTCAAATGTTGTTAGTAAACATTGACTCTGGGGTGAATAAATTCACCTAGAGGAGTACCCAAGTTGGTAATGGTGGGGGTCACTTCATGGTTTGCATTATGAAACATCAAGGCAAGAAGGGACCCCTAATTTGTTTGCTCACTCACAAGAGTGTCAGGCACTGTGCAAGGTCCTGGAGGTGCTGTGAAGAATAAGTCACACAAGGTCTCTACCCACGGTGGGTTTCCGGTCAGGGGAGAGGTGGACACTAACCAAACACTCTCACTAATGGGTACAGCGAAGGGTCGGGTGAGGGCTAGGAAGATAAGGAGCACCTCTCTACTGGAATGCTCCAGGGAGACTGACCCAGAAGGTGGAATCTGTCAGGAAGAGGCAGTGGCTTGAGCAAAGGTCCTGGGTTAGCAGTGAACTAAAGACAGCAGGACAATAGAAGAGCAGAAGGCAAGTGCAAGAGAGGGTGTGGGCCCTGCTGTAGGCAGGCGCCAGATCAGGAGGAGCCTTGAAGGCCCTCTGAAAGATGTTGGCCATTATTTTAAGAACAATGAGAACCTATTAGACACCTAAGCAAGATAACGACAATGATGATGATCACCAGTTCCAGCTCATTTGGGGAGTTATGTCACTTGTCCCAACAACAAGGGGTCACAGTATGGGGCTCCTTGCCCTGAATGTCCCTCTCTCATTGAAAAGACAGAAGCTCAGTTGCCCTGCCGTGAAGAGCACGAGCCAAGACCCAGACTTCCTGGTTTGAGTCCAGTTTTGTTCCTTCCTAGCTGTGTGACCTGGGGCAAGCTCCTTTACCTTTCTATGCCCTCATTTCCAAATATGCATGATAGAGATGGTGCTAATAATAACCCTTATTTCAGAGAGGGTGTTACTAATAGCATGTAACTCATAAGGATATTGCCCACAGCACTGTACCAGTGGTGATTAAGTGAACCGCTGTCACGATGCAGGTAACTGGTACGTCATTACAGAGGGGTGGAACCTTTCTCTGAGTCTGATATCCCTGAAGCATTATGACCATTCTTAAGATGGTGGACAGCATGAAGACTTTTCAGCGTGTGAGAGTGAGAGCAGCCCCAGAACACCAGGCTTCCGTCTAGGCCCAAGGGGACTTCAAAGCTGTGAGCCCCCTGCATTCTCCATTGGATGCAATCAGGCAAATTTCACTTTCACCTTTTCAGTCCCCACGTTCCATATGTTCCACGGGACCCTCAAAGCCAGCCTGCCCATTCATGCGTCTCACCTCCCCCAGGCCCTCCACCCCCTGCACTGTCTGAGGCCGGCTTAGAGTGACAGGTGGATAGGGGCTGGGACCTGCCAGTCGGCAGCCTGCCCACTTACAGGAATTGCCCCCCACCACCCTGGGTGACCCTGGGCAAGTCATTTTACTTCTCTTTAGAGGAGATTTGGTCCTCGGAAGAGGTTTTGAACTGTGTTCTGGCAAGGCCACTCCGGGGCTGGAGGGTGAGCAGGCAGAAATCCCACCCCCCACCCACCCCCCAGCACACAGGTGCACCCAACACAGTTGTGCTGGGTTTGTCCCATTTTATCCACTGAACTTTTACATGAGGCTTCATGTGAACGCAAGTTCTGACGCTAAAAGATATTTCTGATAACAGCTGTCTCAGTCCCCTTACATTGTGACCTTTGTCCTGGATGTAATCTCTGAACACGTCCATGGTTTACAGGGAGTTTGTAACTGGTTCTGCGAGTCCATGATCTGCAGACCGGACTCAAAGAAAGAGCGCAGGCTCTTTGAATTCAGAGCCTGATGCTGCCCTTCTGAGCTCATCCTTCAGAGTCTCAGAGTCTAGTTAGCTAGGATACCCCCTCCACCCTACCCCCAGCATGAAGTGTGGGACAAAATACCAGTGAGGACAGGCCAGGGCCTGGCTCCCCGCATCCCTCAGCCTGCTGTTTGCAGGGTTCTCTGAAGACCATGTGGCCATGAAACCTCCAAGGGCCCCTCAGGAGCTTCAGGGACGAGTGGCTTGTTTTAATAGCCCAACTATAGACCAAGCAAGACATCGTGCTGCCTGATTTTTGTCACTTGGTCACTGAACTTTCTGAAGCTTTGTCTGCTCTTTGTTCTACTTCCTGGGCATTTCTCATAGAAAAAGTCAGGTGAGGAGTCTTATCCTTTTAGAAGAATGTATAAGTTTACATACACTCCCCCACAAATACATGCACACATGCCACACACAAAAATGAACACCTCCTTCCTCCACACACATTTCCCCTCATGTGCATGCACCCATGTTCCCCTCATATAGGCCTCACAAACACACACACACCTACCTCTCCCATTGCCCACACACACCTCCACACATACACTCCTGTACATGGATCAGCTCTTCCCACACCCATATTCTCACTACACCTTACATACAGAGCAACACCCATACACTGCACATGCATCCCCCCACTGCCAACAAATACACACCAACGCAACCGCACATACACACCTCACACTCACATAGCCTCCATACCACACCCATCCTATTCATACACACACAGCCCTGCACACCTGCCACATGCACATGTACACACCACTCCCCAGCAACCAAAGCCGGAAGGCATGGAAGTCTCACAGCCCTGAGCAGTGGCAAAGGAGGCCTACTCCTCAGCATCGACTTCCCCCACACAGACTCTGAGTTGCCAAGGTGATTCAGAGCAGAGCCAGGTAAAAAGGCTGTGTGCTGGGGCCACACAGAGAGCCAAACACTCCCCCACCCCGGAGGAATCTGTAATCTAGAGGGAGAGATAAAACAGGTATGCAACACCTCACAAAAGCACACGGAAAATGGAAAATGCATGCCATGAGATAAGCATGGGCTTGCACAGCCTCCAGGAGCCAAGGTGAGGGAGAGATCTTACCCGCTGTGTGGGAAAAGGGGCTGGGTGGCTTCAGATCACTGGCCTGGGTCCTGGCGAACAAGTAAGAATGAGGCATGCAGAGATGGCATTTTGGGAGAGCCAGAAGGAGGGCTGCAGAATGGGGAGAATTAAGTGTCACAGAAAGAGTGAGTAGGCCTGTGACCAGGGTTAGGGTGGAAGCCAGATAAGGATCTGATGCCTGGGGAGCTATCAATAACTTCAGGGACCAGAGAGTGGCACAGCTAGGCAGGGCCTGAGCAAGAGTAACTTGGTGTCATGTGCAGAACGGGCATGGAGAAAGGAAGACCACTGAGAAAGGTCAGGGGGAAGGCCATGAAAGTGAACTGCTGAGATGGCTGCCAAGGACAGGAGGAGGCCAGACAGGACCAGTGGGTCACGGTGGTGTCAGCAGCTTAGGAAAGCATTGCCACCCCCTGAACTAGGGAGGTCGGGAAAAGGCACAGGTTCAGCTAAAGTGATGTGTTGTCCTTTGCACATGCAGGGTCTGAGGTGGAGATGGTGTCTATGAACAGAACTGCCCAACTGGCACTGAATGTGCAGATTTTAAACTCAGAAGGGACATCAGGCATGGGGATGGACGTAGGGGCTGCAGGCATGAGTGTGAATGAGATTGTAGAGGGTAGGGAGGCAGGGGGAGATGGGAAGAAAGCATGGCATGGGGAGTGGGGAATGGACAGAAGGAAGCAAGGAAGGTACAGGGAGGAACCCTGAGATGTCCCTTTTTCACTGAAAGAGGCACATTATTGCAGTTCACCCTTCAACAACACTGTGAAAAAAGTTTATTATTATTAGTATTCCCTTTTACAATAAGCACAGTAGGGAGCATAGAGACTAAAAAAACTTGTCCAACATGATGGAACTAGTGAGTGATGGAGCCAAACTGTGAAAGCAGGTGTATCGGATCCTATTGTTCATACACTTTACACTGGACTCAGGGCTGGCAAGCTGCTGCCCATGGGCCAGAGCTGGCCCTTCTGCTTTATAAATAGGGTTTTTGTGGGAACACAGTCAGGGCCACTCATTCCTGTAAGGCTACCTGATGCTATCACGACAGAGTTGAGGAAATACAACAGAGACTGTTCAGCCTGCAGTGCCTAAAATACTCACTATCTGGCCTTTTACAGAAACAGTTTGCTGCCCTGAGGTAGTCGTGGTTACCTTCCATAGAGGTCCAAGTCAAAACCCTGAGCCATGTTTGCTTTTGGGGAATGGGAGGCAGGAATGGGAAGGAAGGCAGGTTGGGGAGCCCGGAGAGAAGTTCCCAGTAGTAATAAGGCAGCAACACTGGGCGGGTGACAAAGAGGGGGAAGGGAGACATGATACAAAGAGTGGGGGGCCTGACCGTCCAGCACTTCGGAGCTGTCAAAAAGTATGTGTCCTCAGGAAAGGTGACTGGACTTGGCAATGAGTCTTTATCAGTAAATGGTGAGGGCAAAAATGAAACTAGTGCTGCTTACAGAGTGTCTGCTAAGATGTATATGGACTGAGTGCAGATCAGTCTTCAAAATATTTGGTAATGAAATGACAAGGGTAAGGATGTGATGGCACAGCTGGTCTGAAGTGTGATGTTTTCAGTGGATGGCAAGTGGAGGAGAGGAGCCAGTAGAGAGGAAAGGAGGACATCAGAGTTACAAACAAAAACAGACGGATGCCTGGCCATGTCCAAGGCGGAGGTGGGGGTCAAAATCCAGAAACCAGAGAGAGATGAGCTTTGCCTGTAAGGAAAGGTATGATGAGTACCTCAGTACTTACTGGGAAAAACATCTACTTTATTTCGTGGTCTCATCAGATGTTCACATCTCTTGAGTTGGGATCCAAATCCCCAATATCCGGTTGGGAAACTGAGTCTCAGTGTGATTCCATGACTGGCCCACAGAAGTGGTGCTGCTGAAGGGCAGCCCCAGCATCGAACCCCAGGTCTGGCTGACTGCGGGAACCAGGCTGGTTCACCCCACACAGGCTTGAAAGGACATAGTCCAATCTTGGGCTGATCCATTTTGTCTTTGTTTATTCAACAGAAGTCCTTTCTGATGGAGAAGCACCTATGTAAGAAGATGCCTTTTTGCAACCCCTCATTCAACAGTGCCCCAGAGGAACCCGAGGCTGGCTAGGGATGCCGGGATTCTGCAAGATGGGCATCTCCCACTGCTTTGGAGAATGGGATAAACCCATAATAAACCATGATAAAGACTCCATCAAGCCTCCAGCATCCTGTACAGGCTACTGACTCCACTGTTGGTGCCCCTGCTGATTTAGGAGAGCCTGGGAAGCCTTGATGTTCTTGAACTGGAGCTTTTAGGGCAGCAACCTTGCTGTGGGCTTAGACAATAACAGAGATGTCCTGTCTCCTGCTTCTTCTTTTGTCAATGTCCCTTCAAAAACCAGAACTTGGAACCAAGCACAGAAATCCACATGGAATCTCCTGCCAGCATTATTGCTACTCCTCCTCAGCTCTTTGAATGGACTAGGGAGCTCTGGAGACTCTACCTCATCCATCTCTTAGTTTCGTCCAGTTGGCACATGGTAGCAGATTTCAACACGTTGGTTGCCAAAGCAGATGCCCAGCCAATGTTGAGTGTGAGAGGCTGCCCTCCTTGGTGCTGGACACTGGGTACTATGAGCACGGCCCCACTCATTGGCACAGACAGCCAGGCCACGCGGGGGCTCACGTGGCACTTCTTGTCAACAGAAACTCTCTGGGTGTTCTTCTGAGAAGCAAGCTAGGCCTCTGCTGTGCTGTCTGTGGATTATTTATTTCTTGATTCCCAAGGGCAGGGCTTTATTTTTATCTTAATTCAATTTCATCTAGTCAGTTGCAGCCCCATCAGAAGTGCTTCTGCTTACCACCTGTGCTGACCTGCCCCACTAATTTATATTTCCCCTGGTCTAATTTTGTACTTTTTATTTATATTTCACCCTAATCAAGTATGTGTTTCTTGTAAGCTGTCTCTGATGTTTTATGGTATGAGGTGGTTACCTAATAAAGAAGTTGATTTGGTCTTTTGTCAAAGCACGCCGTAACATGTTTCCGAGTGTTGGGACAATTCTCAGACTCCCAGTGATGTCAGCGTCTTTCTGACAGTTTAACATGTGTCTGAGCAAACCTCAGAATTCTGCATTCAGTACTGCACCTCCTGGAAGGAATGCACAGAGCCCCGTGTGACGGAGACAGCACAAGCGTTATCCTAACACCATGGAATCTCCTGGAAGCTCTGTGCTCAGCCACCCACCTGGCTCTTCACAATTCAACTGATCTCAGAAACCTGAAGGGATATTATGGAAGAACTTCTAGATAAGATGTTAAGATGAAAGATTCCCCTCCTACTCAGAACTTCCTTGACTATCTTTACTTATTGATTTGCCCAACTAAATATTTCATTGTGTTTCTGACCTGACTCCATGAAGTGAGGAAGCCTCTCCTCTTCCCATAGTTCTGACATTAGCACAGAAGGAAGTCACATGTACGCACAATCACTCTGAACAATTCCAGTTGGCTTTTTATTCTAGAAAGGGAACAGGTTTCCATGTCTTTGGCTGGGAAACAAATGCAGCAGCTGACTTTCATTTTGCAGCAGCCTGGTGTTCAAAATGTGCAAATCTTGAAAAAGCAAGATCGCACTCAGCCCAGAGCATATGGCCCTGTCTGAGAGGCTGAGGGGCTGAGAGGGGCTGAGCAGCAGCCACAGAGTCTGACCTCCCTGGTCACACTCACTCCAGGCTGGGAAGGTCTCCCATTCCTTACATCTTCCTCCCTCTTTCTCTCACTTGGCTGTTCGCATGCAGTTTAAAGGTGCATATGATTGTTCTCAGCACAGGGCACTTGTTCTACTCCCAGACTGTCTCCCAAGTCACAGGGCATGCTTCTGTAGGATGGATGTCTCCCACTGCTTTGGAGAATGGGTGTAGAGTAAACCTATGGTAAAGGAAGTAGAAGGTGAACTGAGTTCAGATCCAGCCTCTTACTCACTGGCCCTTGCTCTAGTCCTCTGGAAGGAAGGAGAGGTCCACAGAGGAGGGAGTCCAGGAATCTATCTTCAACCACCTGGGCACCCTCTTTAAGGGCTAGAACTGAGAAGATGCACTTAGGCAACACATGTAGAAATTGGGGACAATCTCTCTGGGACAAGGCTTGGTCCACAACTGATAAGCTGCCAGAACAGTGCTCTGGGACCCCTGGTGGCACAGAATTAGAGGCCACAAGCTCCAAACTCAATCTTAGAGGTCATGAGAGCAGCACTACTGTATTCAGATCACCAGTCCCTTGGGAATGTTGTGAAATGCTGGTTCTGATTCAGTAAGTGTGGGGAGGGGCCTGAGACTTTGCATTTCTCATAGTCTTATAGGTGGTCCCACTGTTCCTAGTCCTTATGGTACTTAGAATACCAAGGATCTGGAGCAAGCCTGCTGTCTTAGAGGTGGGAAACTAAAGCCGGCAAATGCAGTGCCCTTTCTGAGTTAAAGCAGCTGAACAGTAGCACGCCCAGGACTGGGGCTGGGGTCTCCAGTCTCCAGGTCTGCAGGCTGCCGGTCGGGCCTTCTTTCCCACCCACGAACTGCTGGCTGGCTTCTCCAGAGCCCTGTAGAGCCTCCGGCACAGAGATCAGGGTAGTGGCTGGGGGAGGCGATGCACACTCACAAGGCAGGTGAGTCATGAACCATCATGCCTCAGGCCCCAACCTGGATGTGCTAAGTGCCAGGGAATGCACTCCTGAGCAGGCCTCCATGCTGCTCTGCATCACTACCGATGCCAGAGCCATGAGCGCATGACAGCCCATCACCAGAGGAGAGGCAGGCTGCAGACGGAGGAGGAAGCAGGAGGGGCCGTCCCCACTGTGCAGGGCCACCTGGAGCTGCGCTAGCAGTGATTTGGACTTGTCCTCCCAGAAAGTTCTCTCAAGGGGCTGGGCCTAGGGGAGCCTCCTACCACTCTCCGGGGCCTTTTTTCTGTGACCCCTCATCCTCTGTGTTCCCTTGGAGGACATTTGGGCTTTTTCAGTGTCCTGAACTCAGTCACCTCTGCCACTTCTTGTCTAGGTGACATTCTAGGTGATCCTTGCCTATTAGAGAATAATAATAAAGACACTCCAGTCACAAGGACCGAATGTGATTCAGCATGGCCTTCTGAGACCCCCACCCCTGCTAAGTGGGCAAATTCCTTAGAGCACATTGTGGAGATCAAACAGAGTGCTGTGCATGTCAGGGCATTTCTTCAGACTCCTAATGATTCCAGGACTATAGGACCTATGTCACAGAAAGCTACTTAAAGTCAAGTCAGCCATTAATAATTACCACGGCTTACCACAGAGATGACCAACAGGGACACGTGAACCTGGGGAAGGTGGGCATACCAGGGGAAGGGTGGACCCACCCAGCCTGTTCCCAATCAGTAGCCTTTAAGCCCCTAGAAGTCAACTCATGTCTCCATGAAATCACAGTGTGGTGGAGAAAGGGGGCCTACCCTCACTGAATCACAAGCTGTGTCTACCGCTATTGAGGTCAGCTCAGAAATTCATTTGCATGAGGGACCAAAGAGGCTTCTGGATACAAGCCAACACTAGGGGGAATGGGAGTCAGACAGGCAAAACTAGCCTGGTGACAGAGACGTAACACAGTGCGCTCAGCTTCCTTCATCTTGGAACAACTCCACCTGTCCTCAGGGAAGAAGAACTATAAGAAGGATTAGGCAGCTTTTTGGAAAAAATTGATATGTGATATTGGAGTCCACATCTCAACACTGGGAAGCGCCCAGCATAAGCTTGGGTTGTGTTAGTTCCTGGCAGACAACATGGTAACTGACAGAAAAGTGAAGGAATAGGAAATCACTCGTTGTCAGAGATATTTGGATGAAAGGTTCAGACCGTTAGAAACTAACTACAGTTAACCCTGTCTTTATGCGGGGGAGGATGAAAAACAAAAACATTGTTCAGTGTGTGTTTTGCAGTAAGCTGGCAGAGCACCCGAGCAGCTCTGCCAGTTCCTTCCCCGGAACCACACTTAGCATCTCAGCACCCAGCCGCCATGGCTCCGAACTGTGTCTGTGAGCATCTGGACTTTGTTGGATTTATTCTGGGCATCTAGTAGCAAGATGTGTCCTATAGTATCAGAAAAGCCAAGAGAGTGCATAGGGTATTACATTTAGCCTAAAACTGAATATAATTAGGTGTTTTGGTAGTGCAAGCACTGAACTTTGGGTCTGGGAATACTAAAATACTTTTCTACTTAATAGTCATTGTTTCTTCACTTGATGACATTTAGGCTTATGAAGGGGTTTAGAGGAACGCTCTACTTTCAGACAGTGGAAAACCTGTACCAGTCTGGTAATGCCAAGGTTGCACTAGGTGAGAGAGTGCATTGTACGTGGCTAAGGACTAAACATGGATGGTGTACAGCCACACATTCTTATTCCTTCCTTTATTCACCAAATACTCATCTCTGGCCTCGGTCTCCCTAAACCCCACAGGCTGCCCCTACTGGGAGATCCTCTAGTGATATTTGAGGTTGGGAACTTTCAGGTAAGTCCCAGGGTTTCCTACAAAATGAGAGGCTCTGAGGGAGGTGGGGGGCCAGCAGCAGAATTTAGCAAGCCCTCAGGGATTCTGATGCACACCCACTCAAGGTCTGAGAACTCTGGAAAGGATCTTTGAAGCTGAACTTATGCTTGGATGCTGCCCTCTGGGTAACCCCATCTCTCCCACTGTCTCCCCAGGTGCAGGAAACAAACCTCGCCCACGGTCACATGGAGTCCTTGCTGAATCACACCAGCCCCAGGCGACTCTGTCAGCTGTGAGGAACCTGGAGTTCTGGCCAGCCCACCCTGGCCGGGCCATCTGCAGTTAGTGTCCCTTGCCCGCTGGGGGCATGCACTGGCTTTTCCTCCTATCTCACCAGCATTCCAGTTTTCAAGAATATCAAGTGTGCTGTTTGTTCAGGAAGAAAGATGGGAATGAGAGGCTGTTGGAGCTGGTGGGGAAAGAAAGAGGGGGAGCCCAGGGGAACAAGGGTGGAAGGCCTGAAGGGGTCGATGGTGGGGGGAGCATAGTGGGGTTGATAGGACAGCCATAGAAAGAGAAACTGAGGTAGGAGCAAATGGGGGAAAGGTGTCTGTCAGAGTGTGGCCCCTGGGCCAGCAACAGCAGCACCACTTGGGGCCATGTTAGACATGAACATCCGCAGTCTCTTCCCAGACCTTCCGAACCAGGAACTCCAGGCGATGGGCCCACTCGCCTATGTTTTTAAAAGTTCCCCCAGTGATTCTGATGTGCACTCTAGTTTGAACACCACTGGGCTGAAACATTCTATTATTTTACGCAGGCATGCTGCCCCTTGGTCCAGGGTTTTTCCAGAGTTGAATCTCTGCCTTGGGCTTAGGGACCCAGAAGAGAGGGACTGGGATCTTCCTAAGTGCCTCTCACGCAGACCGCCGCTTGCCCTTGACTTACTGACCTTCTGAATCTGCAGAGACAGAAGGACTGGCTGTAGAGGCTGCTCTCTCCCCCATCACTCCCACTCCGGCTCGGGACTGCTGGCTGCTCCAGACTGGGCAGCCGGTTGCTGCAAGGGCTGGGGCTGGAAAGAACCCTCAGGAGCCTCTGGCCTGTGTGACTTCCCAACTGATTCAACATCAAGATGTTCCTTTATTACTTATCTTGAAGTATGTTTCTGCCAAAGAGACGAATCATTAAGGAATCATTAATTCATTTCCCCATGATTTATTCATCAAACACATCCATAACTGGGTATGCAAAAAGCAGAAAACAGATGTATTATGATTTCCATTAGAGTTTTTGGAACATTTAAAACAACCATTACAACTGCCATAAACCCCTAGGGATCTGGGAGGAGGAACAAATGAAAGGAGAGATTCCAGGCCCCAGCCGCCTGTATGAACGCAGGTAGTAGGAGAAGACAGTAAGACAATGAAACTGCTTGCAGGCTCTTGCACGTTCCCCCTGCCTCAAGACTTGCCCATTCCACAAACTGCACCCTCCCTCTGTTTCTGGACTCCCCAGGGGCATCTCATA